GGTATCCTCTTGGCCGTGTGATTGGAGGTACTGTTTACCCTGGGCTGACATTGACCGCTGGAACCATCTGGTGGTGAGTGTAGTTTTGCCGTAATTAGCAATTATTTGATTTACTCATATAGATCAGTTTTAATACTTATATCCATCTGTCATAGGGTCGTGAACTCATTAAACATTCCACTGTCAGTAGAGACTGTTTGTGTCTTTACCGCACCTGTATTTTCAGCTTTTGCATCCTGGGCAACTTACCTATTGACCAAGGTTTGTCTTTTGTCTAATGTGATTTCTCTAGTTTATACTAGAACCAGTGAATCCAACACTATTTGTTTGCATTCTTACAGGAAGTTAAGGGCTCCGGTGCAGGACTAGCAGCTGCTGCTCTTTTGGCCATGGTAATTTATTTATTTGTTATACGTGGAATTTGTCTTCAAGTGATGTTTCGGAAGAACTATGAACAGCAAATATTAAATTCGTATAACATCATAGCTATGACTTTTGATAGGTTATTGCTTGGTTATTTGATATCATGTACACTATTCAGCATTGGTGCATCGTTCAGAAAAGTCTATTGATGCAGTTCTTTAGAAAATTAGTTTTTTTTAAAACTAATATTTTTGTCTTTGCAGGTTCCCTCATATATATCTCGATCTGTAGCTGGAAGCTATGACAATGAAGCTGTTGCCATTTTTGCTTTGATCTTCACTTTTTATCTTTACATAAAGGTTAGGTTTTCTCCAATGTCATGTAAAGATGATTTGGTTTTGCACCCTAGAAATCACGTGCATAGTAAAATCAAACTTTCCCTTGTAAATTTTGGTTTCTTAATCGCCAATTCCTATTATTTTTCTTCTTTCCGGTTATCCTTATCATGAATTTTATGCAGACACTAAATACAGGTTCCTTGTTTTATGCCACCCTGAATGCCATCGCATACTTTTACATGGTACGACTTCGGATAATTCTACATGTTTTCTCCTTTCCTTTTTGTTACTCTCTGCACAAATTCCAATTTCATCCATCATTTAGGTATGTTCTTGGGGAGGTTACACCTTCATTATCAATCTGATACCGATGCACGTTCTCTTATGCATTGTAACTGGCCGATACTCTCCCCGGTTGTACGTCGCCTATGCTCCTTTGGTAAGAATCTTCTTCCTTAATGATAACAAGTAAAAGTATTTTAACTATCAATTAACCACCCTTTCTCTGTTTGTTTCTTGAAAAATCTGAATGTGCAAGTGAGTTATTTATTTGACTCTCTGTTCAGACTAGGACTCTAGCATATGATTTTGTAAAACCTTTTTCTAAGTACATGAAAACTAAATTCATAAAATGATGAGAAGTAAAAGATAAGTAATCAATAGCTGAAACGACAATATTTTGAAAGTTACTGACACCAAGTGTGTGCATGCGTATGCAGGTTGTGTTAGGCACACTGTTAGCTGCGTTGGTACCTGTTGTTGGTTTCAATGCGGTTTTGACTTCTGAACATTTTGCCTCGTTTTTGGTGAGTTTTTCTTCATCGCTTTATTATGTATGCCTCTTCTTCTAATGCATAGTTCATTGATTTTATTTTTTCATGTTAAAACGACCATTGCTTAGTTTTCTAGTTTATGCCAGTATAGTTATGTAAGCTAGTGTTTTGAAGACACTGAATTTCTACGTTTTCTCTTGTGAGATTTGTTAATATTTGGAGAACACCATACAAACTAATTGTACGTAGTACAGTACATAGAGATGGATATGTTGGATTTAGGCTTTATGTTTGTGCAAGTGGCAGAATCTTGTACTACCGATTCTCTTCATTTACTTCTACTTCTTTCATTAAATATTTTCTCGGTGACCTATGCAGGTATTCATCATCATCCACGTTGTCGCTCTTGTATACTACATCAAAGGGATTCTTTCTCCTAAAATGTTCAAAGTTGCAGTAACACTTGTTGTGTCTATCGGCCTGTAAGCTTTCTTATACTGTTTTTCTCTGGCTTTTTTTTTTAATGAATATACACCCTATAAAAAAATATTTCTGCTTCTGATTCAACTCTACATAGTTAGTACAGATGAGATAGCATACTCTAGATTTCGTGGATTGTTTTTCATGGGATAGAAAGTTTATCTCTGCTTCATTACTTTTACAGGGTTGTGTGTTTCATAGCTGTGGCAGTTCTAGTGGCATTGGTGGCTTCAAGTCCAACGGGAGGATGGAGTGGTAGGAGTTTGAGTCTACTTGATCCGTGAGTGGTTCTAAACTTTTAATATTTATTTCTCCTCGCGGTTTAGGTTCGTTGCAAATTTGGAGTATGTCCTTGTCCACAGTTCAGTCTGCAGAAATTCTGCTTTATCTCTTTATTTATGTTAAATATCTGACACTCTCTTGTTCTTGTTATCTTTATCTTTTATACAACAGAACTTACGCGAGCAAGTATATTCCAATTATTGCAAGTGTCAGTGAACATCAACCTCCAACTTGGCCATCTTATTTCATGGATATCAATGTTTTGGCTTTCTTGGTCCCTGCTGGCATCATCGTGAGTTAAATGATTGTGAGAACTGAATTACATTACTTCTTATGCTTATATTTAGCGTTAATTATTTTCTCTCTTCTTATTTTAATGTTGGTAGGCATGCTTTTCGCCTCTATCTGATGCCAGCTCTTTTGTGGTCCTTTATATTGTAATGTCTGTGTACTTTTCTGGAGTTATGGTGAGTTGTGTATCTTCAAATTGCAGTCTCATATTCCCTTGCCTAGTTCTTTTCTTCAGCCATGTATTCACCTGTCTTTCTGATATCTTAGGTTCGTCTTATGCTCGTGCTTGCTCCAGCAGCATGCATCATGTCTGGGATTGCACTCTCTCAAGCTTTTGATGTTTTCACAGCTTCCATCAAATACCACTTAGGCGGGTCGTCTAATTCCACAAATGATGTAAGTATTCTTCTCTCTCCTCTTTATTCTCGATGATGAATCTTCAGTGCTAGCCAAGTTCTGGATAAAAAGTGGTTTGTGTTTCGACTGTTAAGGCAGAGGACAACAATTCTACAAACAATGCCCCAAAAGATGATGCTTCTGTTAGTAAGAATGACAAAGGTGAAGAAACTGCAAAAGAGCGGCCATCAAAGAAGGGCAAGAAGAAGGAGAGAGAACCTGTTGATAAACCTACTGTGAGGTCCAAGATTGTGAAGAAGGCTCTTGTTTTGCCTCTTGAAGCCTCTATAGTTGCGCTTCTTCTCCTGATAATGTTGGGTTCTTTCTATGTGGTATGCAGACTTTCTTCAAGTTATTATATGTGGCCCCATCTTTTACAGTTAGTTTAGATGACAAAGTATAAATCCTAAGACTTCCAAATGCATCCTCTGTTTTGTAGATTCATTGTGTTTGGGCAGCTGCAGAAGCATATTCAGCTCCATCAATAGTTTTGACATCTCAATCCCGCGATGGCCTACACGTCTTTGATGATTTTAGAGAGTCTTACGCATGGTTGAGCCACAATACTGACGTGGATGATAAAGTAAGTTTTCTTTGCTGGCAAAACAAAGTCAACTTTTAAATACTATTAAGCCTCTATTGGTAGAGGTGTAAGCTATCTTTTATATATGAAGTTGCCTGAGTGTTGCTTATTAAAATAAATCATGTAGGTGGCTTCATGGTGGGACTATGGTTATCAGACAACAGCTATGGCTAATCGAACTGTTATTGTCGACAACAACACTTGGAATAATACTCACATTGCAACTGTTGGCACTGCAATGTCATCTCCAGAGAAGGCAGCGTGGGAAATTTTCAACTCCTTGGATGTGAAATACGTTCTTGTCGTCTTTGGTGGTATGTTTCTGGCTCATGACATTGTAATCTTGTGTAATAGCTCTGAAATATATTCTCTGATGGGACACTCATTTTGTCAGGTCTTATTGGTTACCCAAGTGATGATATTAATAAGTTTCTGTGGATGGTGCGGATTGGAGGCGGCGTCTTTCCTCATATAAAGGAAGCTGATTATCTTGTACTGCTCTGTTGTCTTTTTTTTTTTTATTTCATTCAACTTTCAGTTAATTTTGAAGACTCTGAATCTGAAACCGGGTTACCTTTTCAATTGTTTTTACAAAGAGAGACGGCCAATACCGGATTGATTCTGAAGCAACGCCAACAATGTTGAACTGCCTTATGTACAAGCTCTCTTACTACAGGTAAAATGCTTTTCTGCAAGAGTAACCTTGAACTCTGTTTATGCAAGGCTCCTCAGTTTGTATTTTTTTCGCCAGGTTTGTAGAGACAGATGGTAAAGGTTTTGATCGGGTCAGGCGAACAGAGATTGGGAAGAAGAATTTTAAGCTCACACATTTCGAAGAGGTGAGATTTAATTTCTTAACTACAAACTGGAGACGCATTAATTCCACTTAGATTCTGGTAAATGTGACTTTTTTTTTTTCATCAGGTTTTCACGAGTCACCATTGGATGGTTCGGATATACAAGCTGAAACCTCAGAGGAACAGGATTCGTGGTAGAGCAAAGAAGCTGAAATCGGTAAGCACCTGAAAAGAATTTGGGAGAATAGTCTAAAATCCTACTTTATATAATTAGCCCATCCAACCTATACATATTGATTGCGACAATCCGTATTAGTTGAATTTCTGACTTTAATAGGTATCAATCAGTAGTACACAACTGTGAAATAATGAGTTTGGTTGCTATTTCGTTATACGGTAAGAACAAATAGAAGCTAAGGCGGATCGATCTTAGAAGAATGTCAAATCAGTGATACTCTTTGTGTGACGACATATATGAACGTAGCTTTTGTTTTGTTACCAGAAAACAAGCTCTGGATTGAGTTCAAAATCAGCGAAGAAGAACCCGTGGATCTAGAACTCATGGAATTTTTAAATGTTGGATGGTGAGTTATGTGTTAACTCTTAGGTCTCTCAATTATACTCGTGGTAGTTGTTGGCTGTTGCAAACGCAGTCATGTTTCTGGTGTAGGATTCGTAAAAATTTTGTTAACTTTATTTGGATTTGTTAAGGCGAATTTTAAGTTTATTGTGGAGATTTATAAGTATGGGTAAACCAATCCGAGTATTTTTCTCATATTCATTTGATCATTTTTATAGTTTATATAAATTTGTGTCAGAGTTAGTGGGCTAATTCAAAAATTAAAACGCATAAATTTGATCTTATCAGTTATTTCTGTTTAAGATGTCTTAAGACCGGTCTGAACGATTGATGAAAGATAAGTTCGGAACGTGACAGTTAAAACCAAACCAACTGGGAATTGATTCAATAAGAACTTATTGTAATACATGTTAGACTCCGTAAAAAATAAACATGCTAAAGACTCCCGTAGTCGAGGATAACAAAGGTCTTTCGAATTCTGTTTCTATAGTAATGTATCAAGCAACATTCAATTGAGCCAATTTGTATAACATGGTAACCGTAATACAATCAAAGACGTTTTATCATTTTGTAATTCAGCTAAGTTAAGGAATTTGTTTTGTTAAAGAGTTATTATTTCTAGATCATGTATTTATTTTTCAAGATTTGGTATCAGACTCTGTTTTCTCGGTTTGGATTTCTAAACCGTTTTATATTTATAAAATTGTTGACAAAAAAAAAAAGTCACTTATGTTTAGAATCACTAGACCAGATTCCATGGAAGATACGGTCATTAAAATTCTAAGAAAAACATAATATAGTATCCAACAAAAGTAAATTATCGATCGAGTACCATAGTAAGATATCCTACAAAGTCATATTCTTTGATTCAAACACAGATACAAATCTAAATTTTTGCAAATGTTAATCAACAAAGAGGATGGCTTCATGATTTCTCATTAAATTACAATTTTATGCTTTTGCTTTGTTGCCATATAAATATATGGATTGTTGTGTGCACATGTACATGCATATCTCTCTCTTTTACGATCTCTCATACTAATATCATCTGTATTTTTGCAAAAACTTATTTCTAAGATTTATTTTGTTTTATATATGGACTTCAAAGCCCGGCATCTACAAGTTAAAGAGACGAGACAATCTTTCTTTGACGAGGTTAGTTTATTTCAAACTAATGTACATGTGAATGTTATAGATTACTTCGCAAAGATTACTCCGGTTGATTATTCTCTAGTTCTTG